TCAAGTATCCATATTGATTTCTTCAGACTATTAGAGATTATTTAAGCTTGATCCTATAATAATTTTGATAAATAGGATCTGGGCTCCAGAACCACAAACTGCCATTCAGAGAGGCACAGGTTTTAAAAGGGAAGTATGAGAAGAGAATACTCCTGAATCACAACACTATCCTCTCTTATGCTGCTGACCGGTTTGTAACAGTATGATAGATGCATTTTTAACAGATTGGTAATAATCTTAAGGCTAAAAATGTTTCAAAATATTAGTGCCACTGTCGCAGTTAACTTTTTTAATATATTTGCAACTGTTTTTCTGTTTGAATCCTCTGTTTGGTAGTTTTTTTTCTTCTGCTAGAACTGAAGGTTTTTCTTCTGCTTTAAAGAGAATATACAATTTCAAATTAATGTCTAATGTTTTAATAACAGTTCAGCACCTTCATAAAAACTCCTCATTTATGCAGATAAACCCATTGAAGCACTGTGTGCAGTGCACTTTGTTCACATAACTGCTTTCTGTTCCTGGGGCTACAGCTCTTCATGAACGTGGAAAAGAGCATGAACAGCAGGCAACTCCACAGTAGTTTATTACCGCAGATGAGCATATTACAAATGCAACAGGGAAAATCCTACTATGCTAATCACAGTAAGACAATTCTCTGTATTTAGTCTGACAACAGTAGTACCTGATGCATTCTGAATTCTGTTCAGTCTTCTAAATAGTGGACTGCATACAGCTCTGAAAAACATCTGAACCATTATGAGAAGCTCTTTTTTTTCATTTGGGTAAAACACAACATCCACAGGTGATTAAATTAACAAACTGTTTGCCTCCATAATACATGCATAAATTACATATAAATAAAAAGACAGCAGGAAAAAAAAAAACCACCAACACACCCTGCAAAATCCTTTGCACTTAATAACATACATAACTTGTCATTCAGTATGCTAACTTTTTTTTCAGTTTGATTGAGTTTTTCTGCCTGCAATGGTTTTTGTTGAAGTAATCCATATGCTCTTTTTTTTTTAAGCAATTACATTACTGAAGAGTAATTCAATATTATTTGCAGTAGAATGCAATTCATTAAAAATCCATAGACTGAGCACTTACCATCACACCTGAGAAACAGATGCCTTCAAAATACCACTCATGGTTGGGAGACTGGTAACTGGCAGCATGCAGAGCTTTCCCGTTTGGAAAGTATAGGAGGATGTTCACAACAATACTCCAAAGTGCAAGAGGTACCAGCAGGCAACTCAAACAGCTTCCACATGTCTCCAAAGCCATCTCTCAAGAACTCTGGAAGTTTTGTTCTTCTAAACTAACAAAAGTTTACAAGACCTTCACTATAAGAAACATTTTGACCTCCCCAGCTTGATTTAGTAGTTTCATATTCACAGGACCCAATGACTGGGGTGTGATTCCAGGGACAGAAGTGCTTAACAGTTAGCAAAACAACATATGAATATCACTGTGTAAACTCACTGTCCTGTGTTAAGCACGTCTTTGTGTAGTAATTTCCCTTCTAAAAATCCTCCTTTGTGATCTTCCAAATGAAATATGTCTAGGAGTCAGCCTCAGGAAGGAACTTCAAAGCTCTCATTTCCGAGTGACTGCTCAAAAATGTCCTCCTCCCCACAACACATACCGCAACATAGTTTGTGACAGAAGCAAGGTTTTTCAACCTTACTGCAGCATGGGGAAGAGACCTGTAAGAAGATAAATATGCCCAGTCTCTGTAAAGAAGGTCACACTTTGCCTTACATTACAGAGACTTATTAAGAGGACCCTAGGTGGGAACCAATGTGTTACTGACTTGCAGCAGCAGGCTGAGTCCAGGCCATCTTGCAGAGAGTATAGAAGCCCAAATAATACTGGTTAGAAACTGCAAGGCAGACTTATTTTTACACTTTTAATCAACTGCTCTTTCCCACAGCATTATGTGGCTCTAGTACTTTGCAAATTAAATCCTGCTATTTCTCCAATTGTTTCATTCTGTGCTTACAGCTGAGCTTGCACAGCTACAAACCTGACCTATGTACACATGACTTCTTGTGCAGGGCAAAAGGTCTGGCTGTTGTTTTGGAATGCCTGCTGTTTGTACTGTGCAAAGCCAAAGTCAGACAGCTTTCCCATAGTCAATGTCATCATTCCTCAACCCCTGAGCAGCTAAACACTATCCCAGTAACACAGAGCCAGGGCAGTTTGAACACTTGCAGCACAACCCAAGCCTTCAATCTTACGCCCCTGTGAGTCACCAGAAAAGTAACTCAAGAATTACTCAATAGCAAAGTTGCAGCCAGAGGGAAAAAAAAAAAAAAAAAAAAAAAAAAAAAAAAAAAAAAAAAAACCAACAAAAAAACCCAAAAAAAAAAAAAAAAAAAAAAAAAAAAAAAAAAAAAAAAACCCAAAAAAAACACCCAAAAAACAAACAAAAATTGAGGGCTTTATCAAAATCAGGAAGGCTGATTTTAGAAGCAATGACATCCCAACATATTTTCCTTGTGAGCTGTTTCAGGCTCTTCACACAGGAGGCTTCTCTCATCCTCTCATAAAAGCTGTTTGGATTGCATGTTGTAACTAATTCCATACTATTGCTTAATACGAGATCACACAAGGAAATAATTACACCATTTTTCTACCTATTCTCTACTGTGACTCTCCTCTTTACCTAGGAGGCTTCATTTTGAAGTCCTCATTCTTGATCTTCCCATATTTCCTGTTTTACTCTCTCACTACTATGGATACTTTTTTTCAGGTCTCCCTCTAATCAGAATTAGTAGCAAATATGCCTTTCCAGACTCACAGACAGAGACAGAACTCATGTCATCAACACTGTCACAGAGAACAGAGAAAACAGCTGCATTAAAATCATGCACATCCAACCCCCAGGACTGATTTTTTTGGTACAAAACTCAAAGATCATATAATTGGCTGAAATATTTTCTTAAAAGCAAAGGCCAAAATTAGTAGCAAGCATCTTATTTTATAATCAAATTTGATGTGATTTCCATTCTAACCTGTTCTGATTAGAAGACACTAACTTGAGAAATTATGACTGAAGCAGCATTTGCTCTGCAGTACAGCAGTCTGCTTCATGACTTTGTTTTTAAACTGAGCTCTGCAAATACCAATTTACAGCGTGGTTATTTTTTTGGCACACAGTGCCACTAGAACAGGAAACAACTACTTTATACTAAGAATTAAACAAACCTGTAAGCCAGTTTCTCAAGCATCTTGCTAAGTGTTGCAAGCACTGCTTTTCCATTGGTATCATTATTCATGAACTGATTCCAAGCCTGTTACCGAAAAGTCATGTTTACTCTGACTTCTCTGCCAGCTGATATGAATACAACCTAAACCAATAACTTCTTCATAATGTAACTGATAAATCTCTCAAAACACTGTCTCATGCACCAGACAACAAAATAATCCAGCTGGCCATTTTTTACATGACAATATAAATAGTGAGCAGTAATGCTGTGCATTAGGGCTACAGGAATCTATTGGTGCTGCATGCATTTGTGCTGAAGTTTCAAGTCTAAACCCTAGCCTAATCATTCTATATATTGGAATTCTATATATAGTAAAGTTATTTCAGTTCTTTAAGTAATTGTGTGTACCAGAAAAACAAATAACTATTATGCAAGAATAAAGGCAAAAATCCTTAAGTCACATGGTAACTGTACATTATTCCATTGAGGACTTTCTCTTCCACTTTCTCTCCTTCCACACCCATTTAAACTTGCAGATATTTTTTTCAAAGCTGTATCTTCACACACAAAGACACTGCATCACACAGCTGCAAGGAATTTTGTGTGTACACATATGTGCATACACATATTCTCCTTCCCCCCCCCCCCCCCCCACCATAGCAAGGCAGAACAGGGATAGATACTACAAAGAAATGGCATTAAATGGCATTAAAGTCTCTCAATTACTTCTATGTATTTAGGCATGAATAAATACTCTTGCAAAATTCAGGTATCCTGAGATTCTAGGTTCAAATTCTTCATCTGAGAATTCTTTTGCTGGTGTAGATATATGTAGAAAATTTTGCTCTCACAGTTCACTTCTTTTTTTCAGGTATGTATTTGTACAGGGCAGACTTAAATGTGCAGACAGCCTGAGATACACCTGAAGTTTCTGGCTATATTTAAGGACCACCCTCTTAGTTACAAATAGCCTAAGGATGCACTGACACCCATTGGAACTTCTTTTTCTCCCACGAATAGAAACTAACTTGCTTGTTTTCAAAGACAATATGAACAGCTAAATTCCAAAACTGAGCCTCATTCCTTTGAAATAAAGATCATGTCACGTTTTGGTTTTCACTTGAAAAATGCCATTGCCAGCAGCAATGCTGTTGATAGCACATTATTCAGATGTATCTGTGATGAAACATTCAATCTAGTGTGCAACAAGCTACACTTCAGAAGTTCTTACCCAGGACCTCACAATAATGCCTTCAGGCTGATAACTGGTAAAGTCAGGTATTTCAGTTTAATCTGTCTTTATGGACCTGAATTTGGACTGTATTCCTTGAATGCTGTGAGGCCTGAGGGCTGCTGAGGCAAAAAACAAGACTCATGCCCACATCTTGTTTTATCTCAGGCCTGTAGTGGAGCAATCAGGAGTTGATCTCCCCTCTTAGGAGGGCAGGAGGAGGTAAGATGGGCTCAGATGTGCAGGGCCCTCCTCAGCTCCCTGGCTGGGAACTGCCAGCCCTGACCCAGGACTAAAGTCTCCACGTGTGCTCTTGAACCTGACCCAGAGCTGTCCTTGAACCCTTACTGATGAACAAACACCTGTTCCAGTTAAATGAGCCAAACCGAGCAAGGAAGCAGTTCCCACTCTGGCAGAGCCTGCTGGAGAGGAAAAACAGCTTACAACCTGACTGCATTAAATCCATGTTCTCATGCCACCACTGTCCTTTACTCCAAGACCAGGCAAGCAGTGTTTCAGCATGGGCAGGGAAGGAATCACTGACACCTCCTGGGTATTTTTAATACAAATCTTTATTTGTGAAATACAGGGGAAGTTCAGAAAAATCCTGAAAACCCCTCAATCATCCACATTTTACAGCTGCTTTGGTTTTGGTCCAGGTGACCAAAACCTTTTATCCAGGCCAGGCTGGACTTGGTTTGTATTCATTCCAAGATCAGAATGAAAGAGCAACTTTACTGGGAAAACAGGACAAAGTACAGAGCTGTTGTGTCAGTAGAAAGAGAAAAATAAATAAAGCCACTTTAGTGACGTGTGTTAAGGCAGTTGTCTGTATCAAGATGACATTAACCAAAGATATTCAGGATACATTTTGCCTTTCAGTTCAGGCAGGTTAGCGGAAAACCTGCATATGACTCCAACAACAAAGGCCCCAAGTCAGTTAAATTCATGGCAACAGCACAGTTTGACAACAACATGTATTTCAGTTTGCCTGGAATGTTCAAAAAAAATCCACAGCATATTCATTACAGCACACACATGCACTGATGTCAACACATTGTCAGGTTTCTAGCAAACATATGTCTGCAGAGGGGAACAAAAAGAAAGAAACATATTAATGGAAAGAATGTTAATATTGTATCCAACTAAAAATGCAAAAGTTAACCTGAGCACATTTAGAAAACCATAGCATAGCTGTTCTATACTGGAGTTAGAGCAAGGAAGACAGGAGGAAGAAAACAGCAATAGCTTTGAAAGAGCACTCAACTCTGTCAATTAAAAATGTGAAGTGCATGCTTACCTATAGTGTGTGATACAAATTATATCTGGTTCATACTTTAAGCCATAAGTTTTTCCAACACTAGCACTCTGATACTGATTTTGGAATATGTCCAAACTATTTTACAAGGCTTTAATGACATTTTGAGAATATTTCCTTTCCTCACTCAAAAAAAATTCCACCTTCAAAAACCTTCCAGATCTGTCTGCAGATTTTGTTAGCTATATGCAATTTAATTCTTTCTCTCATCTTACTTCCACTTTGCAAGGCCAGGATGCTGCAGTTTTCATTATATGCAGCATATTGTCAGTAGCTTATGAGCTGCTGTGGACAAAAGCCAAGGCTAACACAATATAGACAGAACAAGCACCACACTATGCAACAATGGTTTAGGCAAAAATCACAGTCACCAGGAGATCCATATCACCTATGCAGTGCAATGATGATCACGTGTGTCATCAGACAGACAAAAGCCCTCTAGCTCCTCTCAGGCAGATTAACATCACTGTGGCCATTGAGGAATCAGCTGAAAGCATGTGATCAAACACTACATGAAAATTCTAATCACGATAGGGCTCTAGAAACACCTGTGCAGGGAATTGTTGCTTAAGAATACCTATAAAGTAACTGCTGAGTAAAACTCCTCAGTAGTTTAAGTAACAAGCTACATGTTCATCTGAGAAGCACGGGTATATCTGCAAACTCCTTACCTCCTCATGACTGCAGCACAATCCATACAGTCCTCCAAGAATGCCATTGATTATCTGTATGAAGCACAGAATGAATTCTATTCCTCCCAAAACAAGGAGGATGGAAAAGAGAGTGATGTTCCACTGCACGATGTTCTGAGGTTCCTGACATTCAGACCACTTGTTATACTCAAACAAGTACCTGTACACAGCAATTAAAAGCATATTAATATTGTGTCAGAGTAGGATACTTACCATATACTATAACCAAATTATGTCTATAACTGCATTGAGGATATTCACTTTATGGAGTCCTAGTAGGCTAGGTTCCCTTAGAAATAGATTCCTAAGGGAATAGAAAAAGCAATGGTTTACTCCATGCAAGGTTTATTTGGTTTAGGAAGACGTTGAAATACCAACCACACATTTTTGCTAAGTCTTAATTTCCTTTTTAAAAAATAATCTAAGCTATAAAGGCAGAATTTCCTATTGCTGATTAAAGTGAGGCACAAACTCAAGAAAGCTGAAAGAGCGAAGGTTTTTCTCAAAACAATCACAGAGGTTTTCAGGATTGGGCCTTTTTTCTAAAGATAGCAGTCACTGATCTGATGCAAATGGGTCACTTTCCCTCCTGTGTTGCTGTCTTTGGGCCCTCACATGCTTACTTGGATGAGCCAAACACAGAATAAATTTGGTGAGGTACTGCAGTATTTCAGCTGTTACTGCTCACATCTTGAGAACATCAGCACTTGCCTTCAGCAAGGACTTAACCTAGTTCTTCTACACTCAGTCACGGTCAGGAGGATTGAGGAGGAATGATACAAGTGAAATATAAAATTCAAACTGTGCTGCAAAGAGCTTTATGTGGCTTCTTAGTACTCCAACTGCTTAGTCTGGCATCAGCCATAAGCTGTTGCTAGATACACCCTTGAGGTTGCCAAACATACAGACACTTTAAATGCATGCCATGAATTGAACCACATCAGGATTTATGTATATTAATAGAGAATAGCACAAAGACTTTTTTTTTGCAGGATAACCTTAAATAGGGATAATTAGGAATTCTTTCCCCCTCTGCCCTGCAGTGTACAAAGATTCTTATAAATCATCTCAAGTTTCATTTATGAGATTGTGTCGTTGTCACTAATGTGTGCATTGTACCACCCTATGCTGGTGCAAAGCAGCTTCAGAAGCAAGGCTGACAAAACAGACTCTTACATGATAAGACAAATATCTTAACAACCACAATTCCTCATTTGTAAATCCTTCAAAGTCCTAAAAATTTGTATTTTGTTAGAGATGTTTGTGGACATGAACAATATATGATGTATAGATTTAATCACCTATATATATTTTTAATGCTTTGATTTTTATACTCTAGCAGTGAGAGTAACTGATGCCATTTGTTAAGTTCTAAGTGGGAAGGATAAAGTTATGAATAGATTTTGGTATATGGTTACTGAACATTGCTGAAAGGTACTGAAATAAAGCCCATGTGTATATTGGGAAGAGATGACATCCTCATGAGCAGAAAACTTACCCTCCAGAGGAATCAGTGAAAGGATATATCCAGTTTCTTTCTAGGTGGGTAAGACAATACGGTCCTTGAGACAAGCCCAGTGCTGAAATGATTATACAGTATCCAGAGCCAAGGATCCCAACAAAGGCTGCCAGAACTGAGGACAGCATCTGCACAGCAGACATAAACAGGAACTTTCAGCACAGCCATCGCCTTGTCTTTGGGATTATCTGGGATGGGACAGACAGCTCACTTACCGCACAGCTCTTTCCACAGCCCTCATAGCCAAAGCACCCACAGCAGTCTTCATTGTGGAGCCCAATGAACACTGCAGCTGGAATGAGTACCTGTGTATGGAGCAAAAAACCCACACTATTCCTTTTGGTTGCACAGAGAGGGCAGAATTAATATAGTCTTCAAATTCCTTTCATTTATGTTGCTTCTCGGCAGTCAGCCTGTACAGGAGATTCAGCTTTACTCCTGTTTAACACAGAAGGCATCTGACATCACCAACTCCAGGACAGGTATATTTCTATTGCCACTGTGGCAATATTGCACTTAAGTACAGAAAAGACTGTTGGGGTATTGCTACATTTAAAGTATTTCAGCTTTAAAAAATAATCTTTTCATTAAAGGCTGTATTTACAAATAAAATGCTTTGCAAAAAAAAAAAAAAAAAAAAAAAGCATTAACTGTATTCCAATGAGGACTACAAAATAAAGATTTTTTAAAAACAGCTACTGCCAATATACTTGTTACTTAAGAGCAATCATCTTTACCTGTGTGACAAGCCAGTCTGACTAGAATAGAAAGTCTAGTAAAATTTTGCTCAATTCAGACAAATACGTCATTACAGACATCTACTTTTTTCCAAGATTTCACAACCAGTTCCCAGTGACAGAAATGCAAAGTAACTAAGCAGAAGCTAGAAGCTATCCATGAGAAACATAAACCATCCATACTCCAGTTTTTAGCACAAAAATCAATAAGGAACTGAAGGAGCAGAATGAACTGAATGAACAAGAAGGAGCTGATTAAAAAGAGGATCCTCCCACTAGCAATAATAGCACTTAACAGTGTCCACTTATAAAGACTCTACACCCAAGAGTACTCTGGGAAAAAAAAAAAAAAAAAAAAAGGGTAGAGAGTTATTTGCAAATGCTACAGACTTAATATTAAACTAGAATAAGAACTATTCTGTTGAACAGACACATACTTGTCAGCCCTCACTCAAACCTGTTGCTGAGCCCCAATGCTTCAAGTCCAGAAGGGGTTGTACAAGTGCACTGCAGGAGAAGTTCCATTGGTGCCATTTGTATTATTCTGTGTGTAAAGCCCAGTCTTTGCAAATCCCACTCTAGGTCCCAATGGGACTGTAATACAGCTGTAAGCACCTCTGACAACACAAAATACCTTAGCATGCAATTGTTTTCAACCTCGATTTGCAGACACCTTGAGATCATAAAATCATAGAGTGTTAAGAATTGCAAGGGACCTATAATTTATTTCTAAGAGGACTTCTAAAAGAAGATGAAAAAGGAAGCCTGGAGTTAGGGGTCTTAAATATGCTGCAGTGTGGGCCACAAAACTGACAAGTTAGAAAATAACAGCTTCAGATTAATGATATCCTATAATGAACGCACTCAGTCCTTGCATTGTGTTACTCAAATGCAAAGCTTTTACAACTACCACTCAATTCCTCTGAAAAAATAGCCAAAGCAGAGAAATACCTGTCAGCATGTCAGATAATAGAAATTAAGGAATTGTGTCTAAATGCTCATTATTTAGGGACATTTAAAAGGAAAGTGGTTCAATTATATAACAAAAATTTAAGATTTAATTTAACCCTTTATGCAAACTGTGACCTGCTGAAAGGCTTGGTTTCACTTTTGCATTTTGATTCTGTGCCTTGACTCTATGATTTTTTCAGCTTTAAAATAACAGAATGTTGTAGATAAGATAATCAATAGTAATTAATAATAACTGTGGGATTATATAGCTCTTTTTTTTATACAACTCCAGAGACACCTGTTGACAAGATGTTTAATTAATAAATTCAGGTAACCAGTAGAGAAAGAGCAGTATCAAGTACCTCCAAAATAAACGTGAAAGAAGACACTAGGTTATTACTTACCAGAAAGCCTCCACCTAGAATGCCATGAAGGCACTCCACATACTTGCTGAGGTGATGCTCTGAAGCAAATCTTGTTTCACCATTGGGAAAATAAAGTAAAATGTTGGCCACAATGCAGAGGAGGGCAAGGATGAGCAACTTATAACCAACACATCTAGCACACTTTCCAAAAGACATATTTTCAACTTTAAAAATCTTCCTTCAACTTCTCCAATTCAACCTATTTCACACCTGTCCACACCTAAAAGAAGATCAGTGTTTAGTCTCACCTCCTTAAATACCAGGGATTACCTAACTACCTAAATGACGTTTACAACCCTTCCTAACCACCATTCCCAATTGCAGAGTGAGAGAGCAGGGATGGCAGAACACCACCGCCCTTTTGAAATGCATTAATTGTAGATGAACCAAATGCAATGAAGGAAATACTGAATACTAGGTGATTTCACACAAACATATGATGCCTGGAATAATCACTGGTGAACATGATTGGGTGTGAACAACAGACTTAAACCACAACACAAGTTCTGTTAGAAACTGAAGGAAAAATGTTTTGTTTTCTTTGTTAGAAGCAGCTTTGAATTTCAGGTTTATAGGCTGATTCAGAACAACCTGAAGCCAGGGAAAGACTTGGCTGACTTAACACACTGAGTCAGAGTTTTGGGTACAAACAGAAGAAGGTCTACAGCAATGAGAAGTATGTAGAGCAACCTCTCATTTTGCTATGCTGTTGATGGAACAACAGAAAACTACACCAGGAGGTTGGAAAACAAAAGGAACAGGTAAGCTTCTTAGGAGTGTTCCTTGCTCTTTCCATTATAAGACAAGCTGAATTTAGATTAACAGTCAATTAGTAAATGGTTTGGTAACAGCTAAACCAAGCGAACACTCATGAAGAATACTGCTTTTAAAAAAATCAGGATTATAAAAGAGTCCTTGCACTGAAATATCATGTATAGAAACACACACAAAAAGAAAAATGCCAAGAAAGAAAGAAATTGTATCCAAGGTTTCCAGATGGTGTTTCATGTACCAGTAATATTAATTTCCATAGTAAATGGAGATACAAATTGCACTATAAAAATTAAGATCTAGCCTTTTCTCTTTTCCCTCTTGCAAATTTTTCTAAAATAGCCCAGAGCCTTTTTCTTCTGACACAGCTCAACACAAAGGTGTGAGCCTGTCATGCCAACTGCCTTCACATGGCAGGTAGGAGGTAACTAAAATGCACAGGGCCAGACTACATCCAGGTGATGCTGCTGCTGCTGCCATCATCACAGTACAATGCAATTCTCATTGCAAAACCAGAAGCTAGACAAATGGAGTTTGGGAATGTACAGGATATTAGAAGTCTATAATGACTTTTAAAAAAACATTCAGGTTCCGTTTTTGAAGGTGGGGTGTATTTAATAAATAACACAGTAGACACAAGCCCAGGTCAAAACCATGGTATTCTTGCAAGAGATGTGTGCAACACTTATGCTGAGAAAGAGTCTGCAAAAATAAAAGGTGGGGGGGGTGAAGCAGGGGAAGGGAAGAGAGCAGGCTGGTGCAGCTATGGCTTTGTGATGTAACTTCTCCGGGTATTGTAGATGCTGACCTTGGAGACTTCCTTCATTATGAGAAATATCCTCCAATTGTACAAACATAGTCTGGCCATTATTGTGTGCTTCACATCTAATGACTAAAACAACCCTAAACATTATTCTGCAAGTTTCCTCTGCAGAAGACAGATGCTCAACTGAAAACTTCCTTGATTTTTTTGGGCTAAAAAGCTCAAACCACTCCTTTCCCAAAACTCACCACCCAATACCCTTCCCCCCACCTCAACAACCACACCAACATATTGCCTGTGGGACATGGATATAAAACCCTAGCCCTAACCATATATTTGAAAACTTACGAATTTGTTCTATTTACAACTTAAATAATGGTTTTCTAAATACTTCATTAAAAAAAAAATTACATCATCAAGAACTCCCTGTATTTAAAATGTCTTCCATTGACCTTGAAAACAGTGTGAAGAAAGAAAGAAACAAAACAAGCATTGTATTGGATGCAAATACAATTTTTTTACATTAAAAGATCTGGTCAGATGTGAATCAAGGGGGCTTCACTAATGCCACTGCCATTTGGACACCCTATGGGTATAGCTTCTACCAGAAAGACTAACCAGAATATAACTTTTCTTTGCAGAATTTCTGATGGTCCCACCCACCATCAGAAAAAGGTTAATGGGGGAAAGTGACTCTCATGGAGGCACTGGCTGGATGTGGTAAGTGTATGGTATCTGCAGGTGAGACACAGCATAGGAAAAAATGGCACAGGCTTCACAGACTCATTTGGAAAGACTGGGAAACACAACATATGTATTTACACAGGTTATTAGTTCCCACATGGATTCTCTTGTAAGCTGCTCTCCTTTGGTCTTTTCCTGTTTAATAGGTTGCTGCTCATGGAGGCCAGTGCTAGCTCAGACAATTGCTGGCAACATAGCAGGAATGTGTGGTTACCTGTTGGCTAAACTAAGGGCAGGCTCTTGGCCAGCTGTGCAGACAGAGCTCCTGGTGACCTTAGGACAACTCCAATTCCCTTTGACCCATCCATGCTGCCATCCATTTCTCAATGTCCAAATGATGCATTACCCACGTTTTCCAGTAATCATCCACAAAAACACTGTGATGCAGCTCTAACTGTCCTCACAACCTCTCAAGCATACATTGGTTAACAAACTCAACCTGGACAGTCACAAGAGGAAACTGCTCATCATGAAGTCCTTGATGCCTATGGTCTCCTGGCCACAGACAGAAGAAAGTCTCCAGTTTATTTTTATTAATTAGATCACAACTCCTCAGATGAACTAATGAGCTACTTATGAACACATGCACCTACCTGTTGCGATGAGAGCAATTGCTCCCAACACAGCTGTAACACACATTAACGTGCTTGCTTGTTATCTCTGTCACCACTTTGAGACAGAAAACTGATCTGAACCAGCTTGGAGTGGATGCTCCCACTTCTATGTAACAACACACACTGACACATACAGAGAACATTTAATTTATTAGTAATAATGCTGACCTAAGAAGGAGTCAGCAGCTATGCAACAAAAGTAGTTTTTCCATTAAACCTACCAGTTTGGAGACTGAAAAGCTTACAATCAGGGCAGAGCTACCACTAAATGAGTGTACAGAAATCCCTCTCTTTAAAGAAGAACCCATAAACCTTACTTAAGAACAGCTATTACTGACCCTGTACTTGCAATACCACAATCAAATAAACCACTTCAAACACTGTTTTCTGGTGACATACAAAAACCATGCTGTAGCCTGCATTCATTAATTCTTCCAACAATGTTATTATGATAAAAGTAGGACATAGGACAAACAAATCCTTTTTCTATTTCTGAAACAGCCCGTAGATGAAACCTTGGTCTTGTAAAATAGCCAGCAAAAGTTTGTTTCCCTTGGACTGCACTATTTACATACAGGTTTGCATTTTAGATTTCTAGTCTATCCCTAAAAGTGTGATGTTCTTGCAAAAGTTAAACACGCATGAGGCATTAGCATTACTGTACTATAAGCATCCTCTCTTCTACACTGTGTGTTTGTAATGGCTGTATGGATCAGAAAACTGGCATCAGCTTAGCATACAAAGTCTACATAGCACAGCACAAGGAACAGATTTACAGCTCACAGTGTCACTGACATCTCCCCTCCCCTGCAGTAACCACAAAAAACAGATGTTGAAAACATGGAACAAAAATTACCAGCGTTATGGCTTTGGATCTTGTGGTTCAAAAGTAATTCATTAATTACCTTTGTGTTTTTCATAAAGTGATCCTGTTGGTAGTTAATGTCTAATACAGAAGAAAAAACCAAAAAGACTACCTCTATCATACCACATAAACTCAAAAAAAGGAAAATAATTTGAAAAGCACGAAATTATTTTCCTTCCTACGTTTGTTTTTCCTTAGCATTTGCTTCATACATTGCTCATGCAGTCTTGCATCTGGAATTAGCCATTAGTAAGCTCATGATAATTAAATGTTTTACTTATACTTGTTGAGCAATCCCACAACTGTTGCTTTGTCTGGGAACAGTCTACATTTTGATTCCATAGCAGCAAGATGGGAAATGAATGCTAAAATTTAACATGTCTTTCACATTAGCATAATTGATATTCCAGCATGTTGTCTTTACTTGCATATCTTTCAGCATCAGTAGCAGTTGAATCAGACATCACAATCAGAAAAGCAAATCAGACATGATCATAAGACTCTTAAAACATGATTTCCTAAACTGCAATCACACCCTTCCATCAATCTTTGCTATCATTATTCAAACTGGAATTCTGAAATCCATTTAACAATATACACTCAGCACACAGAATCTTTGCTACAAGATGTTCTTTAAAATGGTTGTCAATGATAAAGGCAACTATTTCATGGTCATGTTCCTCCAAGGGGTCTCAAAAATGTTATACAAAGGTAGCACACATTTTAAGTACAATGGAATTTTTATGAAAACCCCCAAAACATTATTTTAAAAATACATTAAAAAAACAATTAAAAAGAACCAATTAAAAACCATCATTAAAAAACAAATTCGTCTACAGAGGATCCTTTTTCATCTAAGCAACATTTAAGGGAGAAAAGCAGAAGAAAACAGCATTTAATGCTGATTGTGATTTAATTAATTCTTAGTCTTTTTTTAAGGTAACATACTGGAACAACACAACTGAGACTGTATGCTCTGTAAATTTACAAAACGTGTCTACCATGTGGTACTATATACAGCACTCTACTGCAGCTGCTCCATTCACAAGGGTTTTCAAACTCACAGATATGGTGCCATTCTAATGAATTGCAATTGGCTTGGAGGATGGGGAAATACGAATTTCCTGAATTAGGACTTTTCTATCCCTTTGTACCATAATTACAGCTAGAAGTAGCTGTGTCATTTGTATACTGAAACATGGAATTTAGTGCTGCAGAAATATAGATGTGTTCATTTCAGAGCAGCATTCTGTCTCGCAGCCATCTGCTCTGACTTCCAGTGGTCAGATGCTGCCCATGGGACTTTCTGTGCTCAGAAGATGGAATACCCCAAGAATTACACCAGCTCCCTCTAGTGATAATCAGGCTGTGACCAAACAGGTTCTGCCGGGCCCATTCGTGTGCCTTTGCCTTCAGTGACCTCTAGCTCTCAAGTCTCCTTCAATAGCACCTGAAATACTGGCTTCAGATGAGAGGCATCTGCCTTCGGTGGAAGACCACAATGCTCAGTAACAGCTCCTGGTGGCACAGGAGCCAGGCACAAGGCACTCTTTACAGGAAGGGGAACTGAACTAAGGCATCATGCCCACCAAGTCAAACCTTGAGGCTTTGACAGGACAAGTGGGATTTGGTTTAGGTGTATTCTTCCAAGAACACTTATAAATGTTAAGTTAAAAAAGAAAATAAACCAACTTTCTTCTTTTACAGAAAAGTAGTCCTGCTTTCTGCTCTCCATAAGCACAAAGACAAAGGAAACAAAACAAACCAGAAGTTTCCTCTAAAGGTGAGGAGAAAAAACCCCTCAAAAATCAAAATACCAGTCTTTCCCCAGCATCTGCACTGAATCAGATAGAATTTCCCTCCAAAAAGGCAGGCACCATCAGGCAGAGGAAACTGCAACCATGTCAACAACAGTACTTGCCTGTCAGGCAAAACATCCTATGCTTTTATGTGTTATACTCCACTGACTCCCAGGATCTTGATATATTACACACTGCTCTAAGATGAAGACAGAGTTACTAAAGGAGCACTACTTAGAGACATACAAAGGGCTCAAGGAAAATTAAGATGCGTCCTGTGAAATCATTACAATTGCAAAGCCATTACAGCATTCTTCTTATGCAGACCTTTCAAGTAGGTTGCCGATTAAGCCAGCCTATGATTAATGTGCAATGAATAAAAATATTATCCCAACAGAAATTAGTTTACAGTCAATTTTCATTACAATTTATTATTATTTTAATTATTAAAGTCTTATCTCAATCCATCAGTTTTCTCACAATTAACCATCTAACTGTCTCCCCATCCCATCAAGGGCAGAGTCAGCAAGCAGCTCTGTGCTGGCTGGGTTAAACCATGACAAGTGTCTGAACAGTACACTCCTAAGTAATGTTAACAACAAGGTTCTATTAAATTTTATTGCTAGTAACTCAAGCCTGATAACACTAGGATCATGAATGAATGAATGTTGCCAAGACAGCATCTGGATTTTGTTTTTAATTATTTAAGATTAAAAAACAGTAACCTGAAAAACATAAAACATTTCTACTTTTCTGTCAAAATAAAATGAAGACCTAGAATTTACAAGTTCATCTTGCAAAGATCTCAAAGATCATCCTTAACATTGTAAATTATTCTTACAAAGAGGAAAAAGAAAAGTAATCACCAGTGGTTAGAGGGTACACAGTTGTTAGGGCTATATAACTTTGCACTGCTAATGGAGTCACTTTATCTTAATGATAAGGGGTCCCAGTACCTTAGAAGTCATGAGAGATACCTTGCCTTAAAGAAAAAAGGCTCAGCTATGGCCACAGCACTTCAAGAGTAACTTCACCAACATTGCATTTGCATAGGTCTGCATGGAACTATGGCACAAGGCTGAACTTAAGACTGTGATCTATAGACAAAAAGCTGACCTGCTGAGGGTAGTGAAGGTGTGCAACAACACCATCACCTCCTGGACTTGGCCAACAGATATTTGACAGTCTGTCCTCTCCTGGAATTTCACATCTGCTCTGCAGAATGAGAAAACAGGCAGAAGAGGCTGGAACTCCGTTCCTGTTCTCCTTTTGCATTAAGAAGGCTTTGTGTGAAACAAAAACAAGTTCCTTTAGTCAGGCAGAGCTTAACATTAATAGAAAATACATATTTTTAAAATGTTGAAAATTAACTATCCTGTCACGTAAGAGTAGCATAGTCTTCTGATCATGTTCTCACACAGTCTTCACAGACACTAGAACATGTTTTGTTAGTAAGTACTTTCTCACTTGTGGTCTAAGTTCCTAGCTATCTGGAACCAGTCCTGTTCCAAAGCCTGTGCAGTTGCATTTGAATAGAGAGCAGGCCTCAAGGCATTAGCTCAAGGATCCATCACAGTAAAGTAATTAATCTCAATTCTAATGGAAATACATTTTCAGAGCTAGATTTCCTGCTGCTTGAAACACAGAAAATAAAGCTTAGCATGCATGAAAGTTCTGTCTTAGTTAAAAATTAACTACTATATACCTATAAGACAAAATTTCCCCCTGTATTGTGAACTGTCCTACTGGAACCAAAGGATATATTCATACAGGCAAATGACAAAAATAGGATCCTAATCCATACTCACCTTCTTAAAGCAAAGGACTGTATTAGGCTAGATGCCTCACACTAGTACAGCACTGGAGAACTTTAAGGAGAGCAATTCCAGATTGGTAGTATAAACCATAAGGAGGCAGCCCCGTGTTGTGCCAAGGCAGGTTTAGATGAGATATTTGAAAAATTTCTTTGCCAAAAGGTTTGCCCAGGCCTACGGTGGAGTCCCCATCCCCAGAGGGATTAAAAAGATGTATAGATGTGGCACTTGGGTACAATGGTTAGGGTGGCAGTGCTGGGGGAATCATTGGACTCAACAGTCCCAGAGGGATTTAATAAACTGATTCCATACTTCTGTGATAATCTGAAACAATCAAGACACACCAAGGTTTAGATAGACATTTGGAAATGACAAGTGTTACCATATGAAAGACAAAATACTACATGGAGCCAATGTCCTCTAATAGTTGTATGGAGTCAAAGTCCTCTAATAACTATATAATGCCTATATCCATAAGATATTTCAACTTTATAACTAATAATTGGTTAGGTTCAAATACAATCCTGACAATAAATTAAAGTAAACACATCTATCTAAAGTACACAAACCCAGACTAACACAGCCTGTTACTTACACACATGGTAATTTCTACCTCTGCATAAGTAATCACTGTGCTCATGGATGTTCTTCTGTTCCTTTTATAAAGCTGTCATTATGCAAAGCATTAAGATGATTTTTAGCTACAA